CAATACAAGGTCGCAACGATCCATCCTTCTTCCCCACAAAAAAGAACCCCGCCCCCGCAGGAGAAGAGGAAGGGCGGATGAACCCTGTTGCTAGAGAATCAGAAATGTATTTCTCCATGACCTCTCTCTCTGGGACAGAGAGTGAATATAATTTGCCCTTAGGCGGAGACGTACCTGGCAATAATTCTATAGCACAGTCATAGGGACGATGTGGAGGGAGAGAATCAGCCCGAGACTTACTGAACACCTCCTTCAGATCCCGATACTCCGTGGGCACGTTAGATAAATCCACGGTCTCCTCCTGTAACACATGAACAGAAACAGACGGACAAGCAGAGACAAGACAGGACTTATGACAAAAGCTGCTCCAAGCCGCTACGGATTTGAGTTGCCAGTCTATTTTGGGATTGTGACGAGTGAGCCATGGGTGACCAAGAACTATGGGTGCAAGCTGAGTGTCCAGGATGTAGAATGAGATGGTTTCTGAGTGATTGCCTGATGTGGTGAGGATGATATCTTCAGTAACCAGAGATATGGTGGGGAGTTTCTGACCGTTGAGGGCGTGCACTGCAATCTGATGGGTGAGTGGTTTGAGGGGAACTTGGTGCTTGAGTGCAAAGTTGTGATCCATGAAGTTTCCTTCGGCGCCCGAGTCCAGAAGTGCATGACAATCGTGACGGTGGTTGGACCATCGGAGTCTAACCGGAAGGAGAGTCGATGTCGATGAGGTCTTCTCGGCGGAGATCCCACCCGATAGTAGCCTCATACTTACTACCGGGCTGGGCCTTTTAACGGGCAGTTGTAGGCAAAGTGTCCCGCTCCTCCACAGTACAAGCAAAGGCCCTGGGATCTCCGCCTTTCCCTCTCCTCCCGGGAAAGCCGGGCTCGACCTACCTGCATGGGCTCGGGATCGTAGACGGGGCTGACCGCGTCCCCACCTCCAGCACGGTGACCCTCCGATTCCGCCGAAGAACGGTAATTGGGATCGATGTCCTTGACGTAACTCGGCCAGCAATCTGGCCGCTTCTCTGCCTCCCAAGGCACGGTCGAAGACCCGTTTCATTTCGTCGGAGAGCGCTTGGAACGAGGTGCAGCAGTCTTCCTGGTTTTCCCACACCGCCGTTCCCCATAGTGCCGCTCTCCCAGTCAGCAGCGTTAGCACGAAAGCCACTTTAGTTCTTTCCTCCCGGAAGGTTCTGGGCTGGAGAGAGAAATGCATGGAGCATCTAGTTAGGAAAGCTCGACAAAAATTGGGTTCACCTGAGTATGTCTCTGGGGCTGGTAATCGTGGTTCCGACTGGGAGGGGTCCACTGGTGGTATTTGGGGAATCGGCGGTGGGACCGGCGCAGCGGGAATACGCAGCTGTTGGACTTGCTGGGTGAGCCCGGACACCTGCGCCACTAACGCCTGAACAGCACGAGCGGTGTCGTTGATATTTCTCTCTTGATTCTCCATCCGCCGTCTGCTGTTATTGACGAAATCCTCCAACGTCTCAGGATTGTCACACGCTGCTTCCATTTCTGGTCAGATCGTTCTGTAACGTAAGAACTACGGAAGCAATTGCAAGTAACAATATTTATCGGAAAACTCAGAACACAGTCCACAGACAGGCTAGGTAGAACACTCAGTACACGATCCACAGACAGGCAGGTAAGTGGCGCAGGGACTCGATGGTCAGATGGATACAGTGCAGGTGAAGTGAGGTGACGATCAACAAGACGAATCCAGAACATCCACAGGGAACAGACAGGAACAACGAAGGATACTGGAACGTAGAGGGATCAAACACCGGACATCACAAACAACGATCTGACAATGGAGATGAGAAATGGGTGAGATTAAATAGACCGGGATGATAGACTGCAGCTGGTGATGAGTGATTACTGAATGAGCTCTGATGAGCAGCCACGCCCCTCTAATCAGCACACACACACATGTAACAACAGAAACACGAGACATGAATGAGACATAGGATTTACCCACCGTGACATCATCGTGTAAAGCCCGCCCCAACGTTTCTGATTGGTGCCGCGATTTTGACGGATTGGAAATGGGCTTGAATGAGCTCTTTGCCAGACTAACTTTTAGAGCAAATCTAAATTTGCCAGAAGTTGTCTGGGTTTTCCCAGGCTAGAACAATTAGGCTACACATCAGAAATTGTTGCTTGGTGGCTCGATCGATTTATTTTCAGACGTTCATCGAGGCCAGCTCTGTATTGGCCCAAGTTCAGGAAACAGTCGTCGGTGAAATGTTTGGACCATAAAAACTTAGGGAAGTTGTGTCGGCGCATTTCCAGAGAAAATAAAATTAACCCATTGTATCTTCAGAGGCTCGGATGAAGGAACTAAAAAATACTTCTGTGTTCATTTGTACATCTGAACACTGATCAACTGCCATGCTTCGCTCGTTTGCAAGCCATGATATCTCTTAAGGGAAAAACTCAAATCGCGCTCGCGCGTTCGTACTTCCTAGCTCATTTTCTCATGGGCGAGCCAAATTCTCTGTGTGGGCAAACCAGAGAAAGGGGAGGTTACCTTTCCTCCGTATGACGTCATACGGAGGAGATTGAAGATCAGCCCGTCTGAGCTTTCATGTTCTCAAAGGCAGAGAAAGATAGCCAAAGCTCGGTTTACACCGATTGAAATTTTTAGCCACTGGGGGACCATATAGAGGCTAGGGGAACTCATATTAATGTTAAAAAACCTCAGAAAGTGAAAATTTCATGTCAGGGGACCTTTAAAGTTTCTTATGCTCACTAAAGGTGCATTTTATTTGATTTTTAAAAAAATAGTGCAAACAATAATATTGTTAAATATTATTGCAGTTTAAAATAACTGTTTTCTATTTTTATATATTTTAAAATGTAATTTACTGTGAGGGCAAAGTTGACATTTTCAGCATCATTACTCCAGTCTTCAGTGTCACATGATTCTACAGAAACCATTCTAATATGCTGATTTGGTGCTTTTTATAACATGTTCTGTCTGAATACTTGATTTTGATTGGCTGGAGGGTGTGCATTAACCGCTACTGAATCGCTACATTATATTTATCAGCAACAAGGGGGTATAGCAACACTGTTTTTGAAGTAATTAAACTCTCAGCTTCATGTTAGTATAGAGAGTGAAACACTGCACAGACACAGGTAATTCACACACGCATCTCTCTCGAAACATAAGTAAAGAAAAAAGAAAAAAAGCAGGCATTACTCGAGTGTTCAGTGATCCTTCAGAAATCATTCTAATATGCTGATCAAGAAAAATTTCTTATTATTTTCAATGTTTAAAAACTGCTTAATATTTTCGTGGAAACGGTGATACAATTTTTGAGGATTCTTTTACTAATAAAAAGTTAAAATGAACAGCATAGTATTTAAAATAGAAATTTTTGTAACAATGTAATATTTTTACTTTTACTTTTGATAAATTCAATGCATCCTTGCTGAATAAAATTATTAATTAAATAAATAACAAAAAAATCGTATTGATGCCAAACTTTTTAATGATAGTGTGTTTATGAATACTCTTATATTTTAACTCTTTCCCTGCCATTGATGGAATTTTCCGGCTATCCGTGTTTTCACCCTTATACGGTAGGGGCGCTATTACACATCTTTTAAAAGAGTACAGAATCTCAAAACACAGGCAAAAAAGAAGCAGAAATTAGCAATAGCATATGTAAGCAGATGCATTTGTAAAATAACACAATTATCAACGTTAAACAGCATGTAAATCAATACCGCCTAACATTACAGAATGAAATGTCGACCCAGATGTTTATGGACTCGATCTACTCCATCTATGTTTTGATCATCGTTCTGAATCTGATCCAGGTGTAGTCTTTAACAAAAACATGATTTTCTCAGCTTTTTGCTAAAAAATGTTGCTTTTTTTTATAAAACGTACCCACATTCAAGTGTTGAGAAAGAAAATGCATGAAGCTATTATAAAGCAATAAACATTTTTTTTTTAAAGCAGGGGGTCTGTTCTTTCTTTTGATATATTTTATGTTCACAGATATTCCTACAACAAAATATTCTGGGAGCCATGAAATTTATGTGAAAATGATCAAAAATGTTGGCGCTGGCTGGCAACTTTTAAAAAAAATGCCAGCAGGGAAATTGTTAATATAAAATTCACATTGTCCCTATGAGAAAAACAGCTTGATAAACAAATAAATAATGTCTTTATAAAAATCTAGAAAGGTTGGTTTAGGATTAGGGGATAGAAAATGTAATTTGCTTAGTATTAAAACGATCCGATAATGGTAAAACAAACATTTGTGTGGAGAACGTGAATAGATTTGGCAATAGCTGTCTGACAAAAAGCTGTATTCACAGTAATCCAGATCTGAAGGACAGGCAAGGTTGAAGGATGTGGAGGGACAACTGTAAGTGTCAGAGACAGAGAGAGAGAATCAACAGGAAACTTGCCTGTTGGACCTGCTCATCTCTGAGCGACAGGAAAGCTTGAAATGAAAGAGCATTTAGATTGCGGCAGGAGGATAATGGCAAAGAGGGTGGGAAAGACAGACAGAAGCAGGAGTAATAGAGGTAGAGGGAACAAACAGGATAGGGAAGTAAAGAACAGACATGGTGAAAAGGGACTCAGGATGGAGAGAGAGAGAGAGAGAGAGAGCGAGAATAAAAGCATGGGAGAATGAGGAGGGGGGAGGCAGGATAAATCTGTACAGCATCATGATTAGGTATCAGAAGCTTGTTCTGTGGTCTGGAGAGCAGAAGGCAGATCACATCAAACAGATGAGATGCTCAGCACATCTGCTCTACAAACTGGACAAACATCATTTGTGAATTTGTATTTATTCTGGAATGCTTTCATGCTTTTCTCAGCTAGCACTACAAGAGCTGCAAACTTTTTGGAAACCGGACTAAAACCAAAAGCGGCACCTGCGGATATAAAAGATTCTGAAGATAAGCAACACATTTTGACAAATTAAGAAGCATCTTCATGGACTTCCTTCTCAAAATCAGCAGACTACAACTCCAGAGACGGAAAAGGTCACATACACAGCTCCAATCTTTCATTCCAATCTATTTTAATCAGCTGTGCTCTCTTCCCAGCATCCTTCTCATTTCATCATGATTATTCCCCAAGGTTGGAGAACTAGGTTGGTCGCAATGGAGCGGACGGAGGCTATGGATGAGCGGTTTGATTGAGGATGAAGGGTTAGTCCATGCCAAAAACTCTCTTTTTTTTTTGACTGATGCACTTTTAAACGTACTTTTCAGCTTCCAGTTCACATGCTACAGGCATATCACAACTTTAGGCATAGGTAAACAAGATCCACGTGAGATTTATTCAAGATTTATAGAGTAAGACACCACCTCTCGCATTCGCACGCCAATCCGTGAGCACAGGGTGTCACCGCCACGCGGCTCCCCACCTGCTCTCACACCTTTCCTCAGTCAGAGATCACAACTGCAACTCTCCAGCTGTCTCTCATCGGCGTCACGAGCCGGCGAAGCTGCCAACAGCTGTTTCTACTCTTTTTTTGGACACTTGTCTCTCTATTTCTCGCTAATTCCCTCCATCTCTTTCCTCACCGTGTCACTGACACCATCTTTAGTTTGACCCTCTTTGCCAGGAAGGGAGAGGGAGAGAAATGCCATCACCACAGCAGGGTCTTCAGCTGCCACACAAGTAGACTCACACAAGTGTTGAGAGAAGGAGAGAGAGACAGTGCGAAAGATAGAAAAGGCCAAAAGGAGGTGAGAGGAAGCAAAGGCGAGAAGAGGAAACAAGAGGAGGCGGAGACGCACAGCTGAAGAATGTACAGCTTGGGGTCGGGCTCGGATGCATCCAGACGGCACAGGTAAGGAAACTCCCTTTTATTCAGTCCACTGTTGACAGCTAGTGTACAGCTTCGCTCGACCTTTGTGCATGAAGAGCGGCTTTCCGTCTCTGGGTCTTGTGTGCGTAGCAGGGGGAATGCCTGCGGGGCTAAATCTGCCATAGTTAACAGGTGGAGCGCCGCTCTTTCTTGTGGCTGCTCGCTCGCTGAGTGCAGAAACAGTCCTCGAAAGCGTAACCGGGAGAGTGAATGAGGTTCTGGAGACCTGAATGCTTTCTGACACACATACCTGCACTGGCAATTGGGAATGTCAGAGGCGTGCATATATCAGCTTGCAGTCTGTGTCAGTGACGTTGGACTTATTTACACACAGTTAAAATGGGAGAAAGAGGGAAACTGGGTCATTTATGACAAATTGGGTTAAAAAACACCTGTTTTTAATCTTAAACTCTTTACATTTGTAGAAAAATTATAGCAAAGGGGGTCGAAGGCTTTTTTCAAACTCAGTAATCGTGTTTACATATTATAGATATAAATATACAGTAACACTGTTCCATCATTAATGAATAACTACACCGGAACGAATGAGTAACGCAATAATAACATTCTAGTAACTGCTATTAACTAACAAGAAACTCTGATTAATGAATTAGTAAGTAATAGCGCTCAGTTGATTGAGGTATTTCGCTATTAGCTAATCAATAACTATTATTTTTTCATACCTCCCAGATAACTACTAAGAACTACTATAGACAAATTCATAATTAATGTGAATAATGCATAATTTATAATTAATTCTGGTCAAAACCATTTTAACCCACTAGTAATGACTCAAGTGTTACTACATCCTTTTAAAGGAATTATTATTTGGATTATTCAGTATTCCAAAGTGAAAAGCGCCCTAGCAATGACTGGAGTCATTGTAAACTTTTGAGGTTTTTGTAAGGTTTTGAAAAGCAATGAGTCATGACTCAAGTGTTACTACATCCTTCTAAAGTAATTACTAATTATTTGGAACAGTATTCTAAAGTGAAGATCATGGTAACCCACTAGTAATGACTAAAATGTTGTTACATCCTTCTACAGGAATGACTAATTATTTGGAAAAGTATTCTAAAGTAAAGATCATTATAACCCACTAGTAATGACTCAAGTGTTACCAAATCTATCAGAACGAATTACTAACCAATACTTTACAAAAGCCTCAAAAGCTTACAATAACCTCAATCATTGCTAGTGGGTTGCCATGATCTTTACTTTAGAATTATTTATATATTATGCATTATTCATGATGATTATGAACCTGTATATAGTAGTTCTTAGTAGTCTTCTGGGAGGTATGAAAAAAAAATAGTAGTTATTGATTAGATAATAGTGAACTACCTCATTCAACTGAGCGCCATTACTTACAATTTCATTAATCAGAGTTTCTTGTTAGTTAATAGCGGTTTCTAGAATGTTAATATTGCGTTACTCATTTGTTCCTGTATAGTTATTCATTAATAACGAAACAGTATTCTAACGTGTTACCAAATATACATATTGGAGACAGGAGATTGGCCAAGGTCAAAGAAGGGAAATTGATTTTCTGGCTGTCTTGATGTTTTTCTTATGATTTATTTTCCTCACAAATGGAATGTGACGTCCTGTAAAGTGTGTGTATGACAGTGACAAAATGAGGCTTACCGTTGACATATGTACAGTATGTGCGTATTTATTTATTCATATATTTCAATTTGTTAGATTAGAAGTGATAGAAAGTGAGAGATAGAGCCAAAGTATGTACATTCATAAACATTCTGAGTCATTTATCACTCAAGTATCATCTGTTGGTGTGTGTGTGGTTTTGTCTCAAGAGAAAACGAGAGCCTACTCGAAAGGTCTGACATCTTATTGTGATTTATTTATTACAGACACTTCGGCCCCTCTTAGCATTCATAAGACTGAACCAGTGATTGTTGCCGAAAAACACATCCGTTAATGTCCAATCACAACTGTTTGGAGTGTGACTAATACATCACTATTAACATCCGATTCTGTCTGCGCCGCCACACAGGTTACAAATGCTGGCAATGGCGATACTACCATCTGTATTTCAATGTCAGAATCTGACTCACTGAAACCTGTATGATTATGGCTGAACAGGTGAGATCACAGAGATTTGGAAAAGTCAGCTGATATGTGATGCATGCAGATTTGGGGAACACTAATGTCTGCTCCGACCTTGACATTTTGAGCTCTCTCACCTTGGATCACTGTTAAAAATGTATACAGCATGGGGTGGATTTGTGTGGAATACTAAATAAGCAGGTGATCTGTTTTTGCTATACAGTTGCTATACACTTCACTGTAAACAAGTAATGGTGTACCTGTGTAGTTTAGAATGAGCTTAATTTGTGACAAATTTGAGGTTTGTGTAGGCAAAACTTTGCTGCTTCTTAAAAACTTACCTCATAATGTTTGCGGTCCATTGAGTTTGTATCTTAGCGGTTGCTCACACAGTGGTTAAAGCAGACGGTAACATCTGGACAGGAGGGATTCTGTCATAACCTCTGTGGCCGCAGCTTAAAAGTTAAACTTACCATGATCCCACTCTTCTCCTGTGTAATTGAAGACCAATACAATAGCAGGTAGCTTGTGTCCCACATTACAGAAAGCAGGCATAGCGAAAGCCACGTTGAGACGAGGAATTAGCTTTGTGTGAGTTAACATCACTCAAGTGAGAATGTGTTTGGGATCGTTGCTAGAAATAGCAGCAATAGTGCAACTCCAAATGTAATTCAGCTTTAAACTTACTAACACTCTTGTTTGTGGTGGAATTTTACCTCGGAGAAACATACATCGACAGAACGCACAAGATGGTAATTCGGTGCTAATATAACACACCATCTGGCTGCTGTGTATGACGGTCTGTGTATGTTTTATGGCTCTTTGATTGTGATTTTTGATGGTTGCAGATGTCAGTTTAACCACAAATGCGATTAGTTCAGCAAAATGTGTAGTTTGTAGTTGGAGTGATGCCCACTCTACAACCATTTGAAGTTGTGCCGGATGGGACATAAACGTATATTTTTTGTACTTTACCAGATGAGAGCAGTTTTTTTTTTTCAGTCATTTGAATATTTTCAGATGATTTTTTTATTCAGATGTTTTGCAGTGAGGAAACATTACTGTAACTGTTATTATTTATACTTTTCTGTCCAAACAAAATAGTTTTCATGCTTTCAATTTCTTTTCAAATATGCCCATTCTTGTTGTGGAGGTTGTTTAATATTTCTGTTCATTTGACTACCATTTACATTACAGTTTGGTTTATGGTCTAAACTGAATGGTGGATGTAAAGGTTGTAGTTGTAGAGGTAAAATGTATTAAAAGCCATTGTGCTTTAATCAGCTTCACTCATCAGACGCCGCGTGGCCAGCTGGCACCCACAGCTGGTGTTTTACTTTGAAAATATTTCTATCTGCGATTATCTACATGGAAGGTGCAGATTAAATTTTGCGATGAGTCGTGTTTATGTGTAATGCTGTGAATCCAGTGAAGTGCCTTACAGTAACACAGGCACCCCTGTGCATTTATCACAGACCTGCACGATCACTATTCATATACTATTCATGTGAATTCATATGAATTCACTATTCATCATATAAGAAATATACTTTCTGTCTTTATATTATTTCATAAAAATATAACATTATTTATATTTATATATATATACAGTATATACTCAAATGGGTAGTACAATAGGACACCAATCCAGTCCAATGATGGCATAAAATAGAATGGATGTCAGCTGTTTTTTTTTTTTTTTTTTTTTTTTTTTTTGTCTGACAGTGATGAACTCTTTCATTTTCTTTCTTTTGTTGATTTGTTTGAAATAAGAACACATGCTCTAACTGTGTGATGTGATTGTCCATGGGATCTATGGTCAAACACATATCAAAGTGGCCATTTTAAAAGAGATCTGAAGACTTGAAAAGGACATGAGAAGATCACTCCAACAGCAGATCTAACAGACTCAAAAGAGGAGTGTGAATATATTATCGTGCAGCAGCCTGACGGTGTGTGTGTGTGTGTGTGTGTGTGTGTGTGTGTGTGTGTGTTCCATTTGCTGTCATCAAAGCAAAGCTGCAGGTGTCTCACTGCTGTTCACAGTGTCACGTGCAGCAGGCCAACGAACACACTCACTCTGAAGACATCCAATATAGGGGTGTTTCTTCATCTATTGGCACTTCTGTCCCAGAGGTTGATTGTTATTAAAACTTACAGATTTCAACTTTTTTTCTTTCTTATATTAAGGTCAATTAAAAGTGTCTTGGAAACTTTTCACCAGGCATTCATTTAGTTTTGCTACTTTTTAAATACTTTTAAAAACTTTAAAAATGTTGTTATTATTTTAGTGTCAGTTAACATTTTTCATGTTTTTTTCTATATGTCACAATCATTTGTTAACAAACAAGTATTCATTACTTGAGCTCATTCTGCCTTAAATTATTACATTGTTCAAATTAGTACATTAGCTAACTGTGATTGTACATGTACATTTCTTAAATACATAACTTAGACAGTTACCTCTGATAACAGACCACTCTAAGTTGTAATGTGGACTCATTTTCTGTAAAGCTGCTTTGAAATGATGTGTATTGTGAAAAGCGCTATACAAATAAATGTGAATTGAATTGAATTGCATTTTATTTTTAATAACCCTTAATAACCCTTTAATAACTTAACTATAATAACCCTGGATGAAATATGAAAACAAAGTAAATCTAAGGTAATTGTGGACAGAACTATTTTTTTGGCGTAATTTCCAGTCAAGTTGTAATTTTGTCAAATTAACTGTGAAAATATATTTTATTTAGGATACGTAATATGTTTTGTCTAAATGTTTCAATTTGTCTTTTACACCATAGAATGCTATTGCTATTAAACACAATGGGAAATGACATTGTGGTGAAAATGCTCATGATATCAACTTTTGGACAATTAAACTATAGTGACGGTTTGCAAAGTGTGTTTTA